CAGGCAGCTGGGCATGGAGAATCCATGTGCTAGACTAGAGTTCCAGGCCCACATCATAGGGCTTTAGTACAGACACCAGAGTTTCCTGAGTGCTGGGGAGGGGACAGCACAGTATAGAGAAACTCACATGCAATCCTTGCCCCACTATCCAGCCCAGCCAGATGTGTCCATCCTTCCTGGCCTGTTAGATGCCTCCAGCCTACCTTCCTGCTCCACCTAGTCACATATCGTATATTTACCTTAGTGAAATGTTCTCAGTCCCCTGTTACCCTGATATTACCTGAGACCCTTCTCTCTACTTGGTGATCTCACTTTGGACCTCAATTCGTCTCTGAAGGTTTGCTCTACCCCAGGAATTCATCCTCAAGATCTCCTCTGCCTTCAGCTGAGCTCTCCCTCTTGCATCTTTCCCTGTATGAAGCCAGAAATAGACTCAGCAGCAGCCCCACCCCCATAGCTCCTCAAAAGCATCCAAAAGTACTGAATACCAAAAAGTATTCAAAAGTTCACTAAAAAGCACGAGAAAGCAGAATAGCCTGTACCAAGGAACAGAAGCATGACAAAGAGGGAGACAAGGGCACGACACACCCATGGAACTGAGGCAAACAACTTAAAAACTTTTAGTAATTCTTTCATTTCCCCAAATCCATCTTAGGCTATTCGCGCCCTAGAGGTTCTCTTCCACACGTATAGTGTCTCTCCCTGCTGCTCCCTCTTCCCTCTCTGTCAGGTCCCCTTTCTCCCCCCAACATTTTTAAAGGTTCCTTTATTTTACAGAGCAAGTGTGCTGCATCACGGCAGACCAAACTCGCTTGATTTAGTAAGTGGGCTCCTCTAGCTTAATGTCTAATGAGCACAACTGTAACTATACCTAGCAATACCTTTTGGTTTTTTGAATGACACCTATGTTTATTTCTTCCATGAAAACTGTTTTTCCCACATAGCTTCTACCTTTTCACCAAAATACCTTATTGTCATCTCTACCAATGTTAAATAATAATGTCATTTTTGTTGATGGTTATATGTATTTATTTCTTCTCCCCATGCTACCTACTCATATAATAATCAGAACCCCTATGGCTTCATTATTTAGATTACAAGTTGTTGAAATTAAGCCCTGTATCATTTCCTTACTTGACTTGCCTACATTCCCTCGCTGATGAATCAGTCTTGGCCGTAGACACCCAATCCTTTCCCTCTCGTATGAGGAGGGTTTGCCAGTAATGACAGCCTTCTTTTCCTCTCTTAACCTTTGTCCACAGCTTCACCATTGTCTCTCCCAAAGGAAAGTACACTTCTAGCCCTCCCCACTTCGCATACCCTCCCTTGACTGCAGGACGTTTGTCTATTAAAAAAAATCCTTCCACATATCTTTGAATTTCTGGAATTGTTTTTAAATAGGTCCCTAGGATTCACAACTATAAAAATATCCTTTAAAATCTGAGCAAGATAAGCTCCACCCCAAAAAATTTCCAGGTGAGAAGCAGTTATAAATATGGCACATCGAATTGATTTTTCAAACCTGGCCTTGTTCTAAAAGAGGCTGAGAAACTGATCCTGATTAAAGGAAACTAAAGATACACAGCAACTGGATGTAGTATGTGATTCTAGCCTAAATCTTGTAAGGAGGTTTACACAAACACACATACACACACACACACTCACGCACACACACAGAGGACATTACTTGATAAATTGATAAAAATGGAATTTGAGTGGGAGATTAGTTAAAAGTTTAAGATCAATGTGAAATTTACCAAAGGAGATAACTGTGCTGTCAGAGAATATTCTTTTTAATAAAAAATACACTATGAAATATTCAGGGAGAAAGTATGTGATGCATGACATGTATTCTCAAATATTCAAGAATGTATGTATAATTTTCATATGCGTATATGTGTTTTCCTATGTGTAGAGAAGGGGAAGGAGAAAAGGAGAGAGAGATTGTAAACAGGTCAAAATCTTAATAGGTACATCTGGATAAAGGGTATATGGCTTTACCATCTATGGCTTTACCATCTACGCAACTTTTCCACAACTTTATTTTTAAATACAATTTAAAAATGAATTTAACCCAACCTTTGAGATTTCTGGCTTTGATTTCAGAAGCTACTGCCTCCTCCATACACCGACCCCAGACGTGTGCAATGCCAACTTTAAAACAGTTGTCTCAGGTGCTGTCCAATGCAAGAAACCTGGGATCCTCTTTGTACATTTGAAACATGTTAACATTTCAACAGGTTTTGCAAAACTGGCAAAGACCACCCACTCCAGAGGAAAAAAAAAAAAGATTTTAGAAGTTACATGCAATATAAAACAAACAACATGATTACTAACATGGAACCCCTAATTTCTTTTTTCTCTGGTGCCACCAGGTTGCTTGTCTCCTGGGTATTGCAGTGTGAATTGATTTGCCAGCACTTTGTTTGCTCTGCTAGTTACCAGTCCTCCACCAGATTTCCATTATCCAAAAATGTGTTGACAACTTTTGTCCTTTATGCTCCTCTTCGTGTCATCCTTCAGCATTAATTTTTAAATCCTTTACTTGTTTTAACAGCTTTACTGAAATATATTTCCCATACCATACAATTTACCCATGTAACATGTATAATTCATTGATTTTCAGTATAGGCATCACCACAGTCAATTTTAAAACATTGTTATGACTTAAGAGAAACAAATCTGCAATGTTTTGCTATCATTCTCCTCTCCCCTCCTTCCTCCAACTCTAAAATAAATCTATTTTCTGTTTCTAAATTTCCCTATTCTGGACATTTCATGTCACTGGAATCCTATATGGTCATTAGGGACTGGCTTCTTTCATTTAACATGTATTCAAGGTCATCCCTGTTTTGACATGCACTGGTCTTTTTTATTCCAAAAAATATTATATCATATGGATATGTTATATTTTATGTACTCATTTCTCATTTGACAGGTGTCTGAATTGTTTCCGTCTTTCGACTTAATAAATAAGATAGCTATGAACATTTGTTTACAAGTTTTTGTGTAGACCTATGTTTTCATTTCTTGTGAATATATACCAAGAAGTGGAACTGCTGGGTCCTACGTTAACCCTATGTGTAACATTTTGAGCAACTGCCACACACTGTTCTAAAATAGCTGTACCATTTTTCATTTCCACCAACATTGCCTGGGGGTTCAAATTTCTTATAAAAATTAACTAATAATTTGTTTATTACTAAAAAATATGAA